AAAAAATATAAATCGAGTTTTTGAGAGAACGGTTTATCCGATTTGTATGATCCAAAAAACATTCAGTTCGTAATGACGGGGAAAAGTGGTTATTAGTTTTTGGCAAAGGTAGGCCCAGCGGTTTCGGAGATATAGAGCTAAATGTGCAAAAAATGGCAGTTTTTGAAAGAACTAAGCGTCCGATTTAAATGATTCAAAGAAGTTTCTGCTTGTTTCAACAAAATAATTGCTTTTGCAAAAAAAAAATTTGTTTCCAATTTTTTTTCAAAAAATATTTTTGTAATTTTGGATTAAAAATTCAAAAAACGACCCAGGCTAAGCACAGTCTAAGCGCCACTATGGTACAAATGTTTACCCAAGTGAGTTTAGACTGTTCATGTACTGGAGCACTTTTCCAATTTCGTGAAAAATATTGAAAAATGTGAAAATGCCGCCAAGCTAAGCGCAGTATAAGTGAAAATGTCGCACAGAATTATTTGCAAATGCGTTTAGACTGTGACTGTACGGGAGCACTTTTTAAATTTTTTGTATTTTTTTTTTTAAATTGTATTCAAAATGAAATGACGATTATTAATGTTGTGGAGATCAATTGATTTATGATTTATGATTTATGATTGACATTTGATTTGCTCGGATATAACTAGATAGTAAAAATAATGAAAGTTACAGTATTTGTAATAATATATTTGAAAACGTTTAAAATTTCTCGAATATTTCATTACGGTACGGGAAGTTCCAACAATTTGTCTTAAGGCACGATGCCATACACAACTAGTTTTATTTATTTTTTTAGCAACAAGAGGCTGTCCGAGGTGGATCCCAACAAAATATTCCTCCACCAGAAATGCCTCCAAACGAGGGACTGGAAAAAGTATTTGAAACATTGCGCAGGACCTTACCTACATTATTCATACAACCCATGGACTATTCTATTTACAATCCAAATTTAATATTTGAAAATAATATAACGGGAAAGAGGACTGTGTAAGTAGAAAAAAACAGTTTCCATTCTTGCTTATTTGATAATTAATAATTAGAACTGTTGTGTGAATATTAGTATGTCACTTTAGATTTGTTTTTTTATTTCAGAGGCTTATATCATTACGTAAAACAAATTGCATTATTGAGAACTGTTGGTCATCTTAAATATGCCTATGTTAAATTCGAAGTGTTGAAAATCACATTACACAAAGAAGATAACACTGTTCGAGTCCGGTGGTCGGTTAGAGGAATTTCTGGTCTAAAGGTAATAATAATATTAATAATAATAATATTAATAATTAATATATAGTAATAATAATATATCAATCTACATTTCAGGTCATGTTCACATTTTGGAGGTATAAACTGTGGAAAATGCAGGAAATATTTAAAGATCAAGAAGCGTAAGTTTCTTACTAGATATATAAATATATATATATGTTATATATATATGTTTATATATTATTTATTATTTTCTTTTGCAGGTGGTACGATGGATTTTCTATATTTTATGTAGGAGAAGATGGCTTGATATACAAGCATATAGCTGATAAGGTATGAATCATGTAATAATCGTGTTTGAAGAACTTCATGTAATTAAAATTTACATTCATTCATTGACTGCTTGTATTTTTTTCACTTTTTCGCTGGCGATATAATCTCATTCTTTGAACAGCTGTAATATCTGTCTTGCCTAAAAAAATATTTAACTTCCCGAAGGAGAAGTTTATGTTTTCATCAAAAAATCCGATTCGTTAATTTTATGTTTTCTCGACGTTTCAAGCCATTCTGAATCGAATGAGACCAAATTTGGAAAAAGTATATGTGTGTGTGTGTGTGTGTGTGTGTATGTGTGTGTGTGTGTGAACAGATTTTTTGCCGTAAATCGACGTTTTCTCCAAAACGGCTGGACCGATTTCAAAAATTTAAAAGCCATTCGATATATCTCAATGAGGACTATCGTTTCTGAGTTTTGTGCGGCGATGGGCCGGGCCGTTTCTTTGTAAATTGCAGAAAAGTGAAAAATTTTTCGTTCACGTTTTAGCCCGCAATTCTGAATCTATCTTGAAAATTCAAAAACCGTTCGAAAGATATTGGTTGGGAATCGTGCTGATTAGTTTTTGGTAAAGATCGGCCGGGCCGTTTTCTTGTAATAAAGTTTTTAAAAAAAAAATTTCGACAATTTTTATGATTTTTTTTTTGACGGTAGATACCATAGTTTTCTAGGTCATACTAAAATATTACGGCCCTACGACAACTCGTTTAGCTTTAAAAATTCGTCAAAGTTTGCAAAAATTGGTTTCGTTTTTTTGACATTTGTCAAAATGAAATCTTTGATCGACGTTTTTCAAAAACGCCTGAACCGATTTCAGAAATTTAAAAGCCATTTGATGTATTTCGGTGAGGACTATCGTTTGTCAGTTTTGTGCGACGATCTGCCAAGCCGTTTCTTTATAATTTGAAAAAAAAGTGTTAAACTTTTCGTCCACATTTAAGCTCATCCTACCGAACCGATTTTAAAAAATCAAAAACTGTTCGAAAGATATTAGTTGGGAATAATACTGATTAGGTTTAGGTGAAAATCTACCGAGCCATTTTCTTGTAATTAGAAAAATTTAAGCCGATTGTCATGGAACTTTTTTTGGCGATATATACCATGGAACTTACTGAATTATTACGGCCTTACGACAAGTAGTTCAATTTTAAAAATTCCTCAAACTTTGCTAAACTTATTATCGTTTTTTTAAAGTAGGATTGATGAAGTATATTATTTACATATTTTTTTTTTGATTAAGTCGATTATTTACACATATCGGGAAGTTCATGTAACTTGCCTCAAGGCTAAATACCAAACCAACTAGTTTCGATTTTAATAACTTCAAAGATTTATAGAAACTACGAATAATATAGAAATAATTTCTAATCAATAAACTTGCGTTTAGTACAAGGCACAAATGTTTAATTTGTTTTATTATTTTCAAGGAACAGGGTAAAATATTCTTCTGGTTCAGGCATTTTTCATTAAATCAAGATTTGTACTAGGATGTAACCTTAAAATGTTTATTTATTATTTGATTTTTTCCCAGGTGATGCCAGATGAGCAGAAAGAGATCGCAGGAAAGCAGCCGCCCCCAGCAGTAGCAGCACCCATATAATAAACGAATTATAGATATTTTTATTAATTGTTTAATTTAAAAATGTAAATGTTTAATTTATATTATTTTAGTTTAGGAGTGTCCTGCAAAGACAGATCAGATCAGATCTTTGAATCTAATTCTTTGCAGTGCATTCGAATTTGTAATGTTTTGTTGCGAATTGCTTGTTTGCAACGAATCAATCAATCCAGTGATTGTTATTGTTGTTGTTTTATATGAATGAATATAAGAGAACTGTTGATGTCTATGTGTTGAAGTATATACATGCATCAGTAATGTGTAGAATTGTTGATTGAGATAATATATATATAATTTATTAATGCTGTTTGTAATGATTATTATTGAGTTTAAAACAAAACCGTGGACAGTAGTGGGAAAAATATTAAACAAATTTTGAAGTATTTATGTCAAATACTTTAAGTGTTGTAGTTATATGTACGTGTATAAGCATTGTTTGTTAGTTAAATATTTTCTTTACAAATTTTCTCTGAAAATAAAACTGCAAAATCTTAGTGACTGCCAACCAATGATGATAAAGCTATAGCGATGTCTGTATAAAATAAGTAATAATACAAAATATATAAAAAAAATTTGAAAGAGGAGTGTAATAAAGATAATAGCGATAATATAAAGATGCCTGTGCTAAATTATGTCGAAAATCATAGAGAAAATATGAAAAGGTGGTGCCAGCGTCTATTTATTTATAAAAATCTTTTTTCAATCTATTTTCAGGTGGTAAGATAATAATATTTTAGCAATGACTATATAAAATAAGTAACGATAAATAAAATTTAAAATATAATATGAAAGAGAAGAGTAATAAAGATAATATTTCTTTATTTGGATTATGCCAAAAAACATGAACACTTACAGGAAAACAAGGAAAATTTTAGGTAATTTTTATATATTTATAAAAATCTTTCTTTTTCAAGAAACAACAAAATTATTGAAGCAATGGCTTATAAAATAAATAATATATGCAAAGAAATATTGCAGAGGAGAGTAAAAAAAGATAATAGTAATAGAAAAATCATAAAAAAAAGATTCCTGTACTGGATTATGTCGAAAAACAAGAAAACTCACAAGAAAAAATAAAGGTAATCTATATATTTATTAAAATTTCACTTTTATAGGAAACAACAAAATTATTAAAGCGATATCCGTATAAAATAAATAATATATACAAATAAATAATGAAGGGGAGAGTAATAAAGGTAATAATAATAGTAAAATGATAAGAGAAAGATTCCTGTGTTAGATTATGCCGAAACTTACAAAAAAACAAGGAGAATTTAAGGTAATCTTTATATATTTATAAAAATCTTTCTTTTATAGGAAATAACAAAACTATTAAGGCGATAGCCGTATAAAATATATAATATATATAAATAATTTGAAGAGAATAATAAAGTTAATAGTAATAGTAAAACAGTAATAGAAACATTCCTGTGTTAGATTATGCCGAAAAAACATGAAAACTTACAGGAAAACAAGGAAAATTTAAGGTAATCAATATATTTATAAAAATCTTTTTTATTTATGTAATAACAAAACTATTAAAGCGAAGGCTTATAAAATAAATAATATATACAAAGAAATATTGCAGAGGAGAGTAAAAAAAGATAATAGCAATAGTAAAGCGATAAAGAAAGATTCCTGTGTTGGATTATGCCAAAAATATAAACACTTACAGAAAAACAAGAAAAATAAAGATAATCCCAATATATTTATAAAAATTTTTCCTTTTTATAAAATAAATAATACAGGAAAACAAAGAAAATTTAAGGTAAACTCTATGTATTTATAAAAATTTTACTTTTTTGAGAAACAACAAACAAAACTATTGAAGCGATAGCTGTATAAAATAAATAATCGATACAAATAATTTGAAGGGGGTAATAAACTTAATAGTAATAGTAAAGTCATAAAAGAAAGATTCCTGTACGGGATTATGCCGAAAAACATGAAAACTTACAAGTAAATGAGAAAAAATAATTCTATTTATTTATTAAAATCACTTATTTTCAAATAATAGCTGATAAGAGCAAAGTAATAAAAATGATGGTAACAGTAAAATGATAATAGAAAGATTAAATATTAATAAATTATAACAATATAGTACATATTTTATACTCTTTGAACATATTGTCAGTTGCACCAGATATGTAAAAATGAAATACTCACAGTAATTATTATTAAATACATTTTCCACAAACTCATTAATATTTTGATTAATAGCACTTTTTTAATTATAACATTATTGAAAATCAACTGTCATTTTATCCGATTTCAACTGTCAAAATCTCCATCGCCATCTGGCAACTCTGTTAATTGAACCAGATATGTGAAAATAAAATACTTAGAGTAAATTATACTAAATACTTATTGATAATAATATTTTGATTGATAGCATTTATTTAATTATTATATAAATTATTATAAATCAATTGTCATTTTTATCCAACTGTCAAAATCTCCATCACCATCTGGCAACACTGTTAGTTGTTCAAGACGGAAATATGACGTCGACTGCCAACTGATCGAGGTGACGTTCCAAAACAACATTTATTTTATCAAAAATTAATTTATTAACAATACTTTCACCACATTTTCAAAGGTAAATTCGTGTTACAAATAATCCACGTGAAAATTCAACCTATGCTATTGATTTCGCATTCGATAAACCATTATTAAAAGTGTAATAAATACAATTTGCAAGTTGAAATGTCATATTGATATTTGTCAGTGTTGTGTCAAAGGGCTAAAAAAAAGTATAAAATTAGTTTTATACACAGTTTTTTTTAAGTGTTTCATGTATTTTGTGGATTTTTTATCGGGTAGTTTGGTTCTAAAGTGGTAAATCATGAATTTTTCATGTTACACATAACCTTTAATCTAGCTGAGTCATTTGATCTCAGGGTCCTTTAATTGAACCACAAATAGTTTTGACGTTGTAAATCAAGGTTGATAGATATATTTTTAATTACTGTTTTTGTTATTTTAGAAATTAAAACGGCGCAAACATGTTCATCTGGGATTGGTTCACTGGTGTTTTGGGCTATTTAGGTAAATATGAATGGAAAATTTCACATAATAAAATTAACATATTTTTACATATTAAGTGTTGATAAATTTATTCCTGTAAGTCTTTATTGTTCAATTTTGTAAATAGTTATGTTTATTTTATATACACGATGCATTTTATAATGTTTTGCATAATTTTGTATCTGCACGATGGGAAATGAATTAGTAGTACATACTTCTTTCTTATGATGATTTTAGTTAATTTGGTTATTGACAATATTCTTAAACATCAACATTTGCATTAGAATGATTAATTCAAAACTCAAATCTTATAATGCTCATATTTATTAAGAAATATAAAAAACAGATTTTATAATTTATTTTATTATATTCTGAGGCAAACACAAATACCACTCAAACTCAATATCGAAACACTGACTTCTAAATAAATTTATATTAAATTATTCTAAAGCGTTGATAAAATTCATTCCCATAAGTCTTCATTGTTCAATTTTGTAAATTCTCATGTTTATTTTACATACACAATACATTTTATTAGATTTTGCACTTTTTTGTATCTAAACGATACACCAATAGAAATAAATTAGAGGTACAAATTTACCTATTTTGATAGTTTTAAATAGTTCAAAAATGATTTTAGTTAATTTAGTTAAACATCAACATTTGCATTTATGTCTGTATATAAAAAAATAACTGTATCTTCTAACTAAATTACCTATAAACAAGAATTAATTTAAAACTGGATACTTAACTAACCTAATTTAAAACACTCATATTTTTTAAGAATTATAAAATACAGATTTTATAGTTTAATATAGTTTAATTCATTAAATATTGTGACAAACACAAATACAACTCGAAACTCAATATCGAAACAGTTACCTATAAATAAATGTATTTTTTCTATTTATTATGTATGATTTTATTAAGATTTATGTAATTACATTTGAATCTCAACACTTTTCACATATATTTGTGCAAACTAATTTTTCTTCATACATTTTTTATATCAAAACAGTGACCTATACATAAATTTATATTTTACATTTATTACATATAATTTAATTTAAGACTTTTATATAATTACATTTGAATCTCAACACTTCTTACATATATCTGTAGAAACTGATTTTTTGTTTGATTTTATTCATACATATTTCTTTGAAACATTTTTTTCCACATATTTTTGCATCAACTTTGTCATTTTGAGAATAGGCTCTTTTAGTTTTGCTTATATATATATATATATATATATATATATATATATATTAATTTGGATTTTCTTTTCAGGTTTATGGAAAAAATCTGGCAAATTATTATTCCTTGGTTTGGATAATGCCGGCAAAACAACATTATTGCACATGTTAAAAGACGACAGATTAGCACAACATGTTCCAACGCTTCATCCTAGTAAGTCTTTACATATATAATAAAATTTATAACTTAATTACATTAAAAAAACCTTTTGATTATATTTTTTAGAACTTGAACAATATGACATAAAAATAAAATTTTAGATTAATACTAGTGAATTATTTGTTCCTCTAATAAATGAAGAAATTATCATTTAATGGCTTAAAGGCTTTTGGAACATTTTTATAAATTCTTCTTTTTTTTGGGAAATTTAAAGCACTGAAAATGCAACAAAATTTAGATCTATTTGTTGTAAAAATTTCTTCTTCTTTTACATTTTGAACTTGTAAGAGATATTAGATATAATAAATTAATTGTTCATTTTAATAAATGAAGAACTTATAGTTACTGTTCTAAATTCTCTCTTCTTTTTCCAAATCAAATTTTAATTTTATCAATGGTTTTAGTAATTTGAAGATTGCAATTAGCAAATTGAAAACACTAAAAGTTGAATAAAATTTAGAATTATTTATTTGTAATAATATTAAGAATAATATTAATAAGAAATATTTTTAACTAAAATTTTTTTCCTCTACATTTTGAATTTGTAAGAGATATTATATTATGTAAGAGGTTGCTAAAAGATAACACTGATATCATAGGTACTAGGGCTGATAAGAAAGGTTTTGAAATTAATTGATTTGTTGAATCATTTTTATAAATTTTTAGTTAACAATCGTATTGAATACATTAATGGATAATATACAAATATGCAAATCATCAGGCTGTTATATTATTATTAAACTAGTGGTGTATGGGCATCGTGCCTTAAGGCAAATTGCTGGAACTTCCCGTCCCGTAATGAATTATTCGAGAAATTTTAAACGTTTTCAAATAAATTATAACAAATACTGTAATTTTCATTATTTTTGCTAGCTTGTTATACCCGAGCAAATCAAATGCAAATCATAAATCAATTTATCTCCAGAACATTAACAATCGTCATTTCATTTTGAATTCAATTTCAAAAAAAAATAGTTGCCTAATTTACACAAAATTGAAAAAGTCTAAACGCATTTGCAAATAATTCTGTGCGACATTTTCACTTATACTGTGCTTAGCTTGGCGGCATTTTCACATTTTTCAAAAGTTTTCACAAAATTGGAAAAGTGCTCCAGTACATAAACAGTCTAAACGCACTTGCGTAAACATTTATACCAAAGTGGCGCTTAGACTGTGCTTAGCCTGGGTATTTTTTTGAATTTTTAATCCTAAATTACGAAAATATTTTATGGAAAACAAAAAAAAGATGAAATAATTTTTAATCCTCAAAAGCATATGTTTTGTCAATACAAGCAGAAAGAAGTTTTTTAGATCATTCAAATCGGGCGCTTAGTTCACTCAAAAACTGTCATTTTTTGCACATTTAACTCTGTATCTTTGAAATGGCTGGGCCTGTCTTTGCCAAAAAACTAATTACCCCTTCTCCCAATCATTACTAATTGAATTTTTTTTAAGATCATTCAAATCCGATACACCGTTCTCTCAAAAACTCGATTTGTATTTTCTGCACTCTTTGCTCCATATCTCCGTAACGGTTGGACCTGCCTTCACCAAAAACTAATCAGCACATCTTCCTATTAATAGGAATCGAATGTTTTTTAAACCATTGAAATCGGTTGAATCGTGCGCCCGAAAACGTGGACGAAAAAATGCGGACGTTCAAAACACACATACACACATCCATTTTTTCTGAGGTATGCCAAAATGTTCAGAAACCTTCAAAACGTTGAGAAATGCAAAAATTAATAAACTTTACGGGAAGTTAATTATCGGATTTTGATTCGTCATTCAGAAATTACTGAATTAATGCAAAAACGCGGTAATAATATATCAAAATCTTGAAACTTTAGGTGTGCCAATTCAATTTAAATAGATCAGTTTCATATTAGGTTCGCTTTTGCAAAGACCATTTAGGTACATTTATATGTAGCGTGATTTGCAGTGGGTAAACTATTCATATATTTTTCGTTAGCTGCTCTTGTTACTTATGCACCACATTATAGTTATTTTCGTACTAACTAGAAATATTTTTTATGGCAGAACGATGTTTGCCGGGTCACCTAGTATATATATACATATACATATATATATATATGTCAAAAAAATCCTTTATAAAAAAATTCAACAACCTTTATTCGAAAAAGACAAACGAATCCAAAATAAATATAAACCCTGATATCATCAATAAATGGGTAAAAAACATTTCCGATTTAGAAATCCCACCCAACGTTTTGAACATTTTAGCACTAGGTCCTAAATTTTCCATTCCACAACAAAAAAAATCGTTTAATTTTGTCAAAACACTTAGCTCTTTAGAATATAGTTTACGTAATTTAAAAGATATCAATGAAAAAAACCGCATTAAATCTATTTTTTGCAACCAACTTAATTCTTTTTTCAAATTCGACATTTCTAACATTCATCAACATAAAGAATTACTCAAGGACATCCACTTTTGCAAATCCTTTATCAAACAACACCCAGAAATTGTTGTTACCAGGGCAGACAAGGGTAACATCACTGTTATCATGAACAAAGTTGACTATATTTCCAAATCCATGACCCTCCTAGCTGATACAAACATTTACGAACCTTTAAATTCAGACCCCACCGACCTTATAAATCGGAATACTTTGAAATTCATTGATTCACTTATAGAAAACAAGCAAATTCCCCAAACCTCTCTCTCTACAATTAAAAACCTACAATCCCATTTCCCCAAAACTTTATTGTCTTCCCAAAATCCACAAAGACGGTTTTCCTCTTCGACCAATAGTTGCTGACTTAAATTCCCCTCTTTGCAAATTATCCAAATTCATTAGTTCAATTTTATCCAATATCACTCATGATTCTCCACATTTTGTAAAAAATTCTTTCGAGCTCATTCCCAATCTTAACTCCCTCATTGTACCATCTGATTTTTCCTTTATAAGTTTAGATGTGGTTTCCCTCTTTACTAACATTTCACCTGACCTTATTCTTTCTGCCATAGACCATAAATGGGTTGATATAAGTAAACACACAGAATTCAATTTTTCTTGGTTCCTTAAATGTATTAAATTCATTATTTCCAATACTTATTTTTCGTTCAACGACTGTTTTTTTAAACAAAAATTTGGCACTCCAATGGGTTCCAGTTTGAGTGCCCCACTTGCTGAACTTTGTATGCAGTTCCTAGAGAACTCTACACTTAATACCTTGTCTTATGTACCTCTTTTTTACAAACGTTACGTTGATGACATTTCAACTTGCATTCCTACTTATAACATAACCAATTTCCTAAACTCTTTTAATAATTTCGACACACACCTTTGTTTTACCTTAGAGACCCAACTCAACAACTCCATTAATTTTTTAGATATTACCCTTTTTATAAATAACGGCTCCATCACTACATGTTGGTATCAAAAATCCACTTGGTCTGGACGTTATTTAAACTACCATTCCTATCACCCCAAATCGACTAAGATTGCATCTATCATCAACTTACTAGACCATGCCATCCTTCTTTCTCATCCATCACATTGGGAAAAAAATATCAATTTGATATATTCTACCTTTCAAAATAATTCCTATCCACTACAACTTTTACGCTCAGTAATTAATAATAGATTACCTTTTCTTCGTAATAAATTCCGTACATCTTCCTCATTTACCTCCCATTCACAACAAAATAGCATCACTTCACAAACCCTTAACCCTGTTCCTGAAAATTCACTATCTCTCAATTCCTTCATCTCATTACCGTACATCGATTGCCTTTTCCACTCATGGAAAAAACTTTTTTCATCCGTTGGTCTGAAACTAGTGTGTTCGACTGGACACACTCTCACAGACTTATACACTAATTTAAAAACTCCTACCCCTATTTCCCGCACGTCAAACGTTGTATATGTCATTGATTGTAATGATTGTTCAAGTTGTTATGTTGGAGAAACTTCACAATTTCTCTCAAAAAGAATGCGCCAACACGAACTTAACAGTCTTAACAGGAAACAAAATAAAACCATGATCACCGAACATGTCTCCAACTTTAAACATTCTTTTAATTTCACCAATCCAAGAATTATTCATCGAGAAGCCAACACTTTACGCAGGAAGTTTGCTGAGAGTATTTTTATACAAATATTACCTACTATTAACAAACGTTTTGATTCGGCTTCTCTTTGCAATATTTACCGCGATGCTTCGAACAATTTTTTCAATATGCGCAATACTTCGTAACAATTCTTTTATGTAATATGTATGTATATATGTATATATGCGTTATATTTATGTATGTGTATATGTACATATATACATATTTATGTTTGTGGTTATACATGTTTGGGCATATATGTTGCATTTGTGAGTATATTTGGATTTTACATAGATGTTGTAATTGCATGTTTGCATGTGGTTGTTTATGTTAGTTATGTTTTGTGTATGTGTATGCATTTGTTACAATTATTGTGTTGCGTTATATATACATATATATGTTGTTTTTTAATTATTAATAACTTGTTTTTTTTTTAACTTTTATCTTTTTCAGTTAATATTTATACTTTTTCTTAATATAATTCTCTATTTCACAATTTTTTACATTGTTCTATCTTGGTTTTATTATGTTTCTATATTTTTATTTTGATCCACATATTTCATTTTGATCCAACTTTGTTCAACCGTCTGATTATGGATGACTTACATATTTAAAAAAATTTTCTATGTTCCTTGCGCATGATCGCTGGAAAATTCTTCATAACTGTAACCCTTCAAATTCTCTCTATCCCTTTCTCTCATCCAATGACGATACAGTTTCCACTATTTTCCGCTGCAAGCACGTAGGCCCACATTTTACTCTCGTTTACACATACGTAATTCTGTCTCCAAACTAACAAGATGTGTTTTTGGAATAACCTTTTTTACAATAAAACATATTATTTATTTTAATTTTTACAATTTTCAAAATTTTCATAACTTGATGTTTTTTCAATTTTTTATTTCATACTTATTTTTTCGTTTACATTTTTGTGTTGTTCTTTGTGTTATATTTTTTTAAAAAAATTTATTTGTATGGTGAGTTTCTTTACATATGTTTATTTTATGTTGTTTTTCATATATACTTTTCATATACATTGTTTCTACTTATTTTTGTCTGTAATTATGTATCTTTTATATTATTTTTTATATTGTTTTAATTTGTAACCCTGATATATTTATTTGTAGCACTGAAGATGGGTCAAATCTGGACCCGAAACGTATGTTCTCTTAATTAAAACATTTTGCATTAAAACTGTTTTTTTAATTATTGGATGGATGCCCAAGAAACAATTTTTATCATATTATTTCACCATCTGAAGAAAAACCTCTCGCTTTATATATATATATATATATATATATATATATATATATGTATGCATGTATTATATTATCATACTATTTTTTTCAACAGCTTCAGAAGAACTATCTATAGGAAACATGAGATTCACAACATTCGATCTCGGAGGTCATCCACAAGGTAATTCAAATCTGCATTCATTACAAATCATGTATAAATACACTAATTACTATCACTTCTCATCATATAAATCCATTTCTCATTCTATTTCAATTTATTAATCTCCAGCTCGACGTGTATGGAAGGACTACTTCCCGGCCGTGGATGCCATCGTGTTCCTGGTGGACGCCTGGGACAGAAACAGATTCCCCGAGAGTAAAAACGAATTGGATTCGTTATTGGGTGACGAAACGTTGTCGAATTGTCCAGTTCTAATATTGGGGAACAAAATCGACAAACCGAATGCAGCTAGTGAGGACGAACTCAGGGGCTACTTTGCCCTGTACCAGCAGACCACTGGCAAGGTAGGGGAGGAATTGACTCATAAAATATAGATTTTTTTTTTTTATGATACACCTATATTTATTTACATATATACATTATTTTTATATCTCAGTCTGACAGAGGTGCCTGGTATGAGAGATTATGAAAACAGTTTTCATATAATATATACATTTCATTTGATTATTTCATTAATATAATATCTATATATATAACTCTTCAGTCTTCTTTGTCTTCAATTTCCTTATAGTATTTCTTTATTAACTTCCCGTAGGGTAAGTTATTGTAATGGGCCGAAAATCGGAATTGAAAATTTTTACATTTCTCGACGTTTTGAAGGTTTCTGAACATTTTGGCATACCTCAGAAAAAATGGATGTGTGTGTGTGTGTGTGTGTGTGTATGTGTGTGTGTGTGTGTATGTATGTGTGGATACAAACTTCCAGTCACGTTTTAGGGCGCACGGATCAACCGATTTGAATGGTTCAAAAAACATTCGATTCCTATTGATAGGGAAAAGAGCTGATTAGTTTTTGGCAAAGGCAGGTCCAGCCGTTTCGGAGATACGGAGCAAAGAGTGCGGAAAATAGAAATCGAATTTTTGAGTGAACGGAGTATCCGATTTGAATGATCTAAAAAACATTCAATTAGTAATGATTGGGAGAAGTGTTTATTAGTTTTTGGCAAAGGCAGGCCCAGCCATTTCGAAGATACGGAGCTAAATATGTAAAAAATGGCAGTTTTTGAGAGAACTAAGCGTCCGATTTGAATGATTCAAAAAACTTTGTGCTTGTCTTAACAAAATAATTGATTTTGGAAAAAAAATTTTTGTTCCATTTTTTTTTTTTTTTTTTTTTTTTTTTAGTTTTTTGTTGATACAAATAATTTCAACTTTGCAATTCAGTTTATATAATTCTTATAAATATTAGACAATGTTACAATATTTATAATAATCTATTTGAAAACATTCAGTATTCCTCGAACATTTCGTTACGGTACGGGAAGTTCCAGCAATTTGCCTTAAGGCACGATGCCACCCACCCCACTAGTTTTTCTTTTAAAATTTTCGTTATCATTGGTCATCTTAATATAGAATGGCAATTTAATTCTATTGAAAATTAGTCCCGAACTCGAACAAAAAATGTAGTGATTTTTTCGAAATGAAATTTCTTTAGGCGCGATTAGGGTGTAAATCCGTACAAATGCAACGGAAATGCGTTACGCCAGAACTGTACGACATACGCTCTCGATGATATCATTTCTATACGGGTCGATTGTGATTAGTCGTCGTGTATGTGAATAGAGATCTGTCGTTGTATGCGTACCGGCATCAACAAGGAAATCGGCATAAATAAATAAACATTTTACTGTTACATCGTAGTACAAATCTTGATTTAATGTAAAATGCCTGAATCAGAAGAATATTTTATCCTGCTCCTTGAAAATAATAAAACAAATTAAACATTTGTGCCGTGTACTAAACGTGAGTTTATTGATTAGAAATTATTTTTATATTATTCGTAGTTTCTATAAATCTTTGAAGTTATTAAAATGAAAAATAAATTTTTGGGCAAGACAGATATTACAGATGTTCAAAGAATGAGATTATATCGCCAGCGAAAAAGTAAAAAAAATACAAGCAGTCAATGAATGTATGTTAATTTTAATTACATGAAGTTCTTTAAACACAATTATTACATGATGAGTGAAGTTGCGAAAACAATATTTATTCAGGCGTTGTTTAACATAAACGATAGGCTTTTTACATTTTTGGAAATCTAAATTTTTATTACATTTTTGAACATTTTTCTTGCTTATATTTTTGAGCATTTCTTTTCTAAATTTTCATTATATTTTTGGGCATTTTTTCTCTAAATGTTTATCATATTTTTTGGTATTTTTTCTCTAAATTGTTATATTTTAGGGCATTTTTTCAAGATATTAAATTTTTTATAAATTACGTTTCTGGGAGTTTTTCCTAAATTTTTCTTACGTTTTTAGACGTTTTTTTCTATCTACATTTTTGGGCATTTTTTCTCTAAATTGTTATTATATTTTAGAGCATTTTTTCTAGATATTACATTTTTTCTTAATTACATTTTTGGGTTTTTTTTCCAGGTTTTTCTAACGTTTTTAGACTTTTTTCTTATTTAAATTTTTGGACAATTTCTTCTAAATTTTTCCTACATTTTTCGACTTGTATTTAAATTTAAATTTAGATTAAATTCAAGATTAGAGTATTAAATTATATTGATAGTAATTTTTTTGGAATTAATTGGTTGATCCAAGATTAAATCATTTATTTTAAAAACAATCACTCATTGTTTATGTATTATTTTTACATATAAGAATGCAAATATTTTTATAATAGTGAATTGAGTTATTCAGCAAAGAGTTTGAATAAATAAAAACAATATATTGTCATATTTTCATAATAAACATTATTTTTTTAAAAAACAATGTTATTAGATACAGATGGACACTTATTACAAAATAATGTAAATTATAATCAAGGCCAAAAAACAAGAGTTTATGAAGTATAAGCGGGGTGGGTGAAAATACTTTACTGATATATTTTTACCCATTTTTGAATGTTACTAACTTTAAAGTCAATTTAGATGATACTGATAGAGTTAAAGATAATTTTTTTCAGGTTCAATTGATTTAGTTTTTAGTCGTTCGTTTTAGTATTTTGATAATTAGCAATATGTGAACTTCGGACAACTTTTTATATTTCATCAAACGACTTGAAATTTTTATTCCGAACACTTTAATTTGTTTACACCAATAAAAACTAGATAAAATTTACTAAAATCTAGTAAAAACTGTTGTATACACTTGTATATTTAAATTTTGAGTAATTCGTAGTCAAAACGCAGTTTTTATCAAATAACTTTTAATTTTCATTTCGTACATTATGATTTGCTTACATTAGTTAAAACTAGATAAATTTACTATAATCTGATAAAACCTATTATATACACATGGATATTAAAGTTTTGAATAATTCGTAGTTGAAATGCAGACTTTAGAATTTGCGTTTGCAGTATAAGGATTTAATGCATTTTTTTACTTTTCTTCAAGTAACTTTTAATTTTTTTTTCAGACGTTATAATTTATTTTCATCAGTAAAAACTAAATAAAATTTACTAAAATATAGTGAAAACTGTTATATACACTTTCATAATAAAATTCTGAATAATTCGTAGTTGAAACGCGGACTTCAGTATTTTAATAACTTGCATTATATGGGTTAAGTACATTTTTTTACTTTTCTATAATAACTTTTAATTTTCATTTTAATTTACATTATAATTTGTTTACGTTAGTAAAAACTAGATGAAACTTACTAAAATCTAGTAAAACCTGTTAAATACACTTCGATATTAAAATTTTGTATAATTTGTAGTTGAAACCTGAACTCTTTATTATTCCCATAATATCCCTTTAGTATTCTCATATATATGGATTTCGTACATTTTTTTTTAGTTTTTGTCGAATAACTTTTAATTTTCATTTCGGACGTTATAATTTGTTTACATCAGTAAAAACTAGATGAAATTTACTAACTGTTACTACTATAGGCATTTTTATATTTTAAATGTATTGTTCAAATTATCTGGGTAATTTAATATTTTTCTAAATATTTTTTTTTGATACAATTTCTTTGCTCAGATCCCAATTTTATTTATATTTATAGATATATACCATACAAATATTATATTATATTTTTCTTCAGGGTAAATTGCCAAGGTCTGAGATCCCCGGACGCCCCCTTGAGCTCTTCATGTGTTCCGTGCTGAAAAGGCAGGGCTACGGTGAAGGCTTCCGTTGGTTAGCTCAATACATCGACTGAAAATGGTGAAAATGATCCTTAAAATAATTTAAAAAAAAGAAATCACCCCAACAACGAGAACAACACACACACACATATATAATAAATACAAACATACATAGTGAGCTGCATTCCCAGTCCCGAGATTAAATAAATATACTGTGATGAATGACTGAAATTGAATTTAAAAGTCAACATTTGAAATAATCTTTGTGTGTCGGTGATTTTTTTATTTACTTAACAAATACAAGAAAAAAAGACAGTCACCCTTCTTAATTATGTAAGCGCCGGTTTAAATAACTAATTTAATTTAATTTAAAATTATCGAATGTGTGGTGTATAATAGTAAGTGTTAAGATTTTAAGTTCAACCCCCATTTTCTGTTTCGGTTTCCCGTATTTTAGCAAATTTTTTCTTTGGAATGTGCTAACCTCGAGGATTGTTATATATAAAATGTGATGTGTAATCATAATTTTATTGTAATTAAATTATTATCAAGGTGTTTGTAATTTTTTGTTTAGTTGTTATTTGTTTTTTTTTTATCTGCAGTCAACATGAAAAAATATTGAAGTATGAAAATTGAATAAAAAATTTCAAATACAACATTTTTGTATCATTGGGAGAGGAATTGAATACTTGTAAGCATAATTGAGGGAATTTTCAGTCAAAATATAATAATAAAATAGGTATACTATAGTAGTAGTTTAAGATTTCAAACTAGTTTTATTCAAAGTTTTTGTATTGAAGGGTATAAGATAGTTTGCATGAGATTTTAGTAAATTTTATCTAGTTTCTACTAAGCTAACTAAAAAAGAGTGCCCGGAACAAAATATTCGAGTTTTTTTTACAAAAATGTAGAAAAATGTCCCAAATTTGTATTATTAATTTGGTTTATGTGTTAGGCCGATTTGAAGCTAGTTTTATTCAAAGTTTTTATATTGAAGTGTATAAGACAGTTTATATGAAATGGTAGTGAATTTTATCTAGTTTCTGCTAAGCTAACTAAAAAAGAGTGCCCGGAACAAAATTTTTGTGTGTTATAAAAAAATGTAGAAAAATGGCTCAAAATTGTATTATTAATTTGCACTATGTGTTTGGCCAAGTTCAAACTAGTTTTGTGTAAAGTTTTTGTTTTGAAGTGTATAAGACAGTTTATATGAAATTTTAGTAAATTTTATCTAGTTTCTTCTAAGCAAACTAAAAAAGAGTGCCCGGAACAAAATTTTCAAGTTTTTTTATAAAAATGTAGAAAAATGACCCAAATTTGTATTATTAATTTGCACTATGTGTTGGGGCGAGTTCAAATTAGTTTTATTCAAAGATTTTATATTGAAGTTCATTGATCTATTTATAGAAAATCGAAGTAAATTTTATCTAGTTTCTGCTAAGCTAACTAAAAAAGAGTGTGTCCAAAGAAGTTTTTTAGCCATTTCAAAAATTGTATAAAAGTGTCCCGAATATTATACTGCAAACTATTAAAATGCATAATAAGGTGTTCAAACTAGATTTATAAAAAAATTTAGTATGCCAACTTATAATATAGTTTAATACAAATGTTTGTTACGAAGAAACGGCCCGAGTGATCTTTACTAAAAACTAATTAAGTAAATTCATAAAATTCATAAATGATATCTTTTGATAAGTGTTTGAATTTTTAAAAGCGGTTCAGGATTTTTTGCAAAAATATTGTTGAAAAATTCGGAATTTCGAAAATTAAATCAACAATATTTCTGGAATCATAATATTAAAACGTTTATGATGAATTTTCCAGAAATTAAAAGTTACTTTTTAAATTTCAAGAGTTTGAAAAGATTTCAAAATGGCGCCAACTTTATGCAAAATAAAATAATTAATATCAACAAATTTACTTAAACTTATACATATATTTACATAAATTAAATTAAATTTACATATATTTTCATAAATATTTGTTATTAATTATATAAATTCATAAATAATAAGATATTAAATTATTAATTATTATTATTTATTTAATCTTGTGTTGGTACTCGGTACTGTCAAATTGCAGTTTCCATGGGGATGGTGACGCCATTGTGCAATTTGTGCCAAATGCCAAATTAGTTAACCAAAAAGTTGTGCAAGTGTGTAGTGCAAAAAACGTGTTTAATCGCCAAATTAAATGATATAATTAGTGCAATCGTGGTCGCAGAAGTTCGTTTAACGACTTGTTGAATCAGTTATTTTAAAAGTGTTAGTTTTATCAAACTTGGAAGAAAATTACCGGCTGAAAACAGAAGAATCATCGGCGGCATGGTCATAAAGGTTAGCTATACATATTTATTTAATAATCCATTGTCATCATTGTTAGACAGAATTTATAAAGATTCTTATTGAATTTTACATAACTCGATGGTCGTTGTGGGTTTTATTCTGGGTAAAAATTGTCGTGATAATAAGTGGTTTGGGAAGCAGAAAAAACATCGGCATGGTCAAATAGGTTAGGTTGCATATACATATATATATATATATATATATATATATATATATATATATATATATATTTTGTAGAGTTTCGAACAAGAATCCAAAAATAATACAAAATAAAAAACAAGAAAAGTTTTTAAAAAAACAATTTCTTTATTTAATTATTTGTTTATTGTCGACGTTTCGGAACTAGGTACGTTCCATCTTCAGGACATCTGTCAAGAAACATGATCTTGATGAGATTTTAGCAAACAATATGTTTAGGAAAAGAAAATAGATTTTTTCTTAAATAATGAATTAAATTGTAAAAAATATAATAATGTACAGAAATATGATAATATGTTCAAAATAAAAATGATAAAAATAAATGAGTGGATTATCAGAACAGGATATTAAACATAATAGAAAATTTTTTTGAAAGTTATGGAAATTTTTTTAAGAAAAGGTTAATGACAAAGTTGAATTAATTACCTGTATGTTTGAATATTTGTTAGCACTTTTTCACTAAACAAGCTTTTTTAACAAAAATGATTTTTTGAGTTAATTTTCCGCCGAATAATTAGATTTTGTAAATCAAAATTACTAAAAAATTTGTCTTTTTTAAAATTATTATTTGAAAACACAAATAATATTGTTCTCTGGATGTTGTTCGATTGGTTTTCGAAAATTAACTAAATGAAACTGGTGTGCCTTTTGTAACACGTGTAAACACTTGAACGAGAGATGTGAGATTGTATGTGTGTGTTTTTATATGTCAGGGTGTGAATACTTAAATTGTTGATCTTAAAAGGAAGTCGATATTAATTGTTTGTCAAAAAGTGTAAAAAATTTAAATATGAATCATGTAATAGGTTGTGATCTGATCTAATGTTGACACTGTTAGAAACATTTATGAGGATGAGACAACTCTCCGCGAATAACCTTCTAAAGATGCAACTTTCGTGATATAAAATCTTTGGAGTGAAATTAAATGAATGGGCGTTTTCTATAGAGTGTTGTACTAGGGTACTTTTGAAATTTTTTTGTTTATGGTGGACCACACTTAGTTCATGTTGTCTCATTCTCTTGTGTACATATTGGGAGGTTTGTCCAATATATTGAAAAGCACAGTCATTACAAGAAACAGAATATGTACCTCCCAATATGTACACAAGAGAATGAGACAACATGAACTAAGTGTGGTCCACCATAAACAAAAAAATTTCAAAAGTACCCTAGTACAACACTCTATAGAAAACGCCCATTCATTTAATTTCACTCCAAAGATTTTATATCACGAAAGTTGCATCTTTAGAAGGTTATTCGCGGAGAGTTGTCTCATCCTCATAAATGTTTCTAACAGTGTCAACATTAGATCAGATCACAACCTATTACATGATTCATATTTAAATTTTTTACACTTTTTGACAAACAATTAATATCGACTTCCTTTTAAGATCAACAATTTAAGTATTCACACCCTGACATATAAAAACACACACATACAATCTCACATCTCTCGTTCAAGTGTTTACACGTGTTACAAAAGGCACACCAGTTTCATTTAGTTAATTTTCGAAAACCAATCGAACAACATCCAGAGAACAATATTATTTGTGTTTTCAAATAATAATTTTAAAAAAGACAAATTTTTTAGTAATTTTGATTTACAAAATCTAATTATTCGGCGGAAAATTAACTCAAAAAATCATTTTTGTTAAAAAAGCTTGTTTAGTGAAAAAGTGCTAACAAATATTCAAACATACAGGTAATTAATTCAACTTTGTCATTAACCTTTTCTTAAAAAAATTTCCATAACTTTCAAAAAAATTTTTCTATTATGTTTAATATCCTGTTCTGATAATCCACTCATTTATTTTTATCATTTTTATTTTGAACATATTATCATATTTCTGTACATTATTATATTTTTTACAATTTAATTCATTATTTAAGAAAAAATCTATTTTCTTTTCCTAAACATATTGTTTGCTAAAATCTCATCAAGATCATGTTTCTTGACAGATGTCCTGAAGATGGAACGTACCTAGTTCCGAAACGTCGACAATAAACAAATAATTAAATAAAGAAATTGTTTTTTTAAAAACTTTTCTTGTTTTTTATTTTGTATTATTTTTGGATTCTTGTTCGAAACTCTACAAAATATACACAAATCCAAGACTCTACCATTCAATATATATATATATATATATATATATATATATATGCAACCTAATCTATATGACCATGCCGGTCATCTAGTATATACACATATATTATATATGTATATACTAGATGACCCGATAGACGTCCTGTACTCACGCCTACAATTTCTTAATATCCTATACTACTATTTATCGTTTACCTAAAAATAATAATTATTGTTTTTTAAATTACTCTTCAATTATAATATCTAAATCATATTTTTCTCAGTATTAATTTAATATACATTATTACCAGGGGCGCTCCTGGGGTCCTCAGCGTACTTCCGCCCCTATTATTTTATTTGTTTTAACAGTCTATTATTAAAATTATAATTTATTAATATTCGGCTTTTGAAACATTTTACTTATTTATTTTGGGCATTTTATACGATTTATTCTGTTGAGCAAATCATAGAGAGCAAAAAAAATTCTTGCCTTTCATTATTAATCATAACCATAAGTAAGTAGAGTTTCTTGTCAACTACTTGTATTTTGCTCGTCAGTAGAGTCCCTTTTTTGATTTACATTAATCATTTTAAACGATACGGCTTTAACAATCATACTAGATTATTGTAGGGCAGTGAAAGGTCAGTGATTTTTTTTTAATTAATTAAAATTTGGA